CCCTCGGCCGAGCCCCCGGGACTGCCGCCCCTCGCCCGTGGGATGCTCGTCCTGCTCCCCCTGCAGCCGTGGGAGCGGGAATTTGGGAAAGGAACAAGCTCCCATCGGTGGTTTGTTGAGCATCTCCCGCAGCAGCTCCCAGAGCCTCTTCCCTGAGCCCCCCGGGGGTTCCTGTCCCTCTGCCCGGCTCATTCCCATCCTTCTCCCCCCTCCTGGGAATAACGACCCCCAGGAGCTGGACGGTCTGAGGTTACAGGCTCAGCTCTTCCCAGCAAAACCAGCAGCATTAATTAGTGGTTTGGCATGAATTTAACAGCCTGGAACCACCACCGGGGTGTTGGTGGTGCTTGGGAAGGTGGTGGGGCAGCAGCAGGCCTGGGAATGGGGCTGAGTGGGGTTGTGGTTCTTTGTTCAGCCCCAGTGTAAATGAATAACCTGGAAGGAGCAGGAGCTGACAAGGCTTTTCCCGGGAAATCTCCCCAGGGGCCCAAAATAGTGGGGACCAAGCAGAGCTGTTTAAGTCTTCTTATTCAGGAATCAAGGAGGGGATGGATTAAAAGTGGAAAACACTGGAGAGCCACATCCCAGTGGGCAGAGCACCAGGCTGTGCCCACGGTCACTCCCAGCAGAAAGAGCTGCAGACTTTTTTCTTCCTTTTTTTTTTTTTCCTTAGTTCCTGGTTTTGGTAAGTCCCAGCCCTGCTGAGGGTGGCTGCCAGCAGCACCACACAGGTTTTCCCCTGTGGAGAAAACCTGACCCATCAGAATCTGAGGAACACAGGGTTTCCCCTTCTGACTCACTGCACTGGTTAAATCAAATCATGGAATGATGGAAGGGACCTTAAAGCTCATCTCCTTCCACCCCCTGCCATGGGCAGGGACACATTCCACTAGCCCAGGTTGCTCCAAGCCCTGTCCAACCTGGAGTTGTGGGTGGGCTGGTTACAAACCCACTGGTTCGGGGTTCTGGAAGGTCCCACGATTTGGCCCGTGCTGGGAGATGGGGAGAGGCTGTGGAGGAATGAGCTCTGTGGTGTAGAACACCCCTGACGAGGTTTCCTTTCTTTTTTTGGGGATTCCCCAGTGGATTTTGCCCTGAAGGTGGTTCAGTGGTCGGAGTCGGAGACGGTGCGGCTGCAGCTCTGGGACATCGCAGGTGAGTCCACAGGGACCAGGAAACAGGAGCAGAATTTGAAGTTCTCAATGGCTTGGCCCTTTCCCCCTTCCCTTTTCCTCTTCCTTTTCCCCCTTCCTTTTTCTTTTCCCCTTCCTCTTCCTTTCCCCCTTCCTCCTCCTCTTCATTTTTTTTTCCCTTTTCCTTCTGCTCCCAAAATAAATCCCAGAAGCCTGTGGATTCCAGGGGTGTGACTGCTCTGGTTTGCAGGGCTGGCTCTAGCCTGCCATAGTAATTTAAATATTTAATTAAAAGCCCATTTGCAAGGAGCTCAGCAGCAAAGACAGTAATTCCTGCTGAGCATTTCCTTTTGGCTTCAGAGCCAGAGCAGAGGGAATGGGAAACAGGCTCATCTGTAGCTGGATGTGTGACTTCTCAGCTCCAGATCTTGTGTTAAAACTTGGATTTCTGGTGTGGCAGCCAGGAATCCTGAGCCTTGCATGGAGCAGCTTCATGGACCTGAGACTGCTTTGGCTGCCAGGATTGGGATCTGGCTGCTCCAGTGGATCCCTCAGGAGCAGGCAGGGGAAGAGGAGACTGTTGGGTGCCCCCGAGGTGAGGGCACCAGGATGGGAGGAGGACGCACTCCAGGGGACAGTGTTCCATGTGCTGAGGTGGAGTGAGGAGCCCCTGCTCCCCGGAGAGCTGCAGGAAAACGTGGCTCCCAAATTCCCTGGCACCAGGACAGGGCAGCAACGTCTCTAAAATGGCACCTCTGGATCCGGAGAGATGAGAAAAACAGGGCTGTGGTTTCCTCCCGTTTCTCTGCCCGTGTCTGGAATCCTTAAAAAGGCAACAGGAAGGAGAAGTTGGCAGCAGGAGGATTGCAGCAAGAAACTGGTTTCGGTTTTGGCACAAAAAAAAAAAGGCTTTTGAGATGTGGAAAGCAGGGGGGCCAGGCTGGCACCGTGCCCTTGTTGTGCCCCAAGAGAAGGAGATGCCCGAGCTGACAGTCCCTGGGCATCCCCAGCACCTCAGAGGTGTGTGGGGACACAGGGGTGGCTTGAGGGGACTCCAAGTTACACCAGGAATAATGCAAATATTATGGTTGCTCCATCCCTGGAAGTGTCCAAGGCCAGGTTGGATGGGGCTTGGAGCAACCTGGGCTAGTGGGAGGTGTCTCTGCCCACAGCAGAGGGTGGGATGAGATGAGCTTTAATTTCCCTGCCAACCCAAACCAGCCTGGGATTCCATGACTTTATGATCTGAGTGCTGGCATTCAGAGCTGCCCAGTTTGCTCCAGCTCCACCACTGGACCAAACTGGAGTGCCTGTATTTCCTCATTATTTGAGTGGGGACCATCAGTGTCAGCTGAGAGAAGGATGGACCTCAATAAACACATTATTTGCACGAACAAATCCCAAAATAGTAACCCTGGGGGGTGATTTTTTTCCCCTTTGATCCCGAAGGACAGGAACGTTTCACATCCATGACCCGCCTGTACTACAGGGAGGCCTCAGCCTGTGTCATCATGTTTGATGTCACCAACATCAGCACCTTCAGCAACAGCCAGAAGTGGAAGCAGGATTTGGACAGCAAGCTCCTGCTGCCAGACGGGAATCCTGTGCCTTGCCTGCTGCTGGCCAACAAGGTGAGGAGCTCTGGGTGGGTTTGGGTGTCTTTGGGTGTCTTTATGTGTGTGTTTTGTGTGTGTTTCTGTGGTTTTGTGTGTGTTTGTATGTGTTTGTCTATTTGTGTTTGTGTGGTTTGTGTTTGTGTATTTGTGTTTGTGTGTATTTTGTGTGTGTTTCTCTGTGTTTGTGTGTGTGTGTTTGGATATGTTTCTGTGTGTTTCTATGTGTTTCTGTGTGTTTGGATATATTTCTGGGTATTTCTGGGTGTTTCTTTGTGTTTGTGTGTCTGTGTTTGTATTTCTGTGTGTTTGGATATACTTGTGTGTATTTCTGTGTGTTTCTATGTGTTTCTGTGTGTGTTTGGATATATTTGTGTGTATTTCTGGGTGTTTCTATGTGTTTGTTGGTGTTTCTGTGTGTTTGGATATATTTGTGTGTATTTCTGGGTGTTTCTGTGGGTGTTTCTATGTGTTTATGTGTGTTTGGATATATTTGTGTGTATTTCTGTGTGTTTCTGTGTGTTTGGATATATTTGTGGGTGTTCCTGGGTGTTTCTGTGCATGCACAGGGGTGCAGAATGGAAGGGGACACCTTTAGCACTCCCCCTTGCCTAGAGTTATCCCATAGCCTGTTGTCTTTTAATCCCTTCCATAACTCTCCTGGAGTTTCCATTTTCTAGGCAGGATTCTCCTCCATGAGCAGGGCCCTGGTGGATGCACTGAGTTATTTCCAACTGCTCTGCCCTGGGATGCAGCACCTTGTCCTGTGCTGTTGGAGCTCTGCAGCTCCTGGATTACAAAGCTTTGCCTTCTCTTTTTCAATCCTTAACTTGCAGAGTTGTTAAGGTTAGAAAAGACCTTTAATATAAATCACCAAATCCAGCACTATGTTCACCACTAAACCATGTCCTTGAGTGTCACACCCACTCGTTTTTTTGAACACATCTAGGGATGGTGACTGCCCTGGGCAGTCTCTTCCAGGGCTTTACAACCCTTTCCATAAATTTTTCCTTCATTTAAAAACTCCCTTGATGTTCTTCGTGTGCCAGCCCTGGCTCAGCAGCTCTTTCCAGGTTCAGTTTGAGACTTGCCTGGTTTGGGAGAGCCCAAAACTGGAGATGACTCGTGATGGGTGGGCAGGGGAGTGGCTTTTCTTTTTCCACTTCTCCACAATTTACACTTCCCTCAATAACTGGTTTTTGATTGCTTCTGCAACCCCCTGACAGGAGGGGGGAGCCGGGGGGGGTCAGGCTCTGCTCCCAGGGAACAAGGGACAGGAGGAGAGGGAATGGCCTCAGGCTGTGCCAGGGGAGGCTCAGGTTGGACATCAGGAGGAATTTCTGCCTGGAAAGGGTGGTCAGGCCTTGGAAGGGGCTGCCCAGGGAGGTTTGGAGTGTCCAAGGAATGACTGGACGTGGCCCTCAGTGCTCTGGGCTGGGGGACAAGGTGGGGATGGGGCACAGGGTGGACTCAGTGATCCTGGAGGGCTTTTCCAACCTCAGTGATTCTGGGATTCTGCTCTGAGGTGACAGTTTTGCCTGTTTTAGGGAAATCTGTGTGCCTGCCCCACGAGCTGTTGTGGGTCAGGGTCTCTCTGCCTCCTGGCACATCCTGTTGGTGGCCACAGTGCCACCACACCTGGAACTCTTTTCCTGGCTGCTGAGAGGCAGATTTGGGACGAGGGACAGTGTTTGAAGCTCCATTCCATGCGTGCCTGACTGAGGTGTGTCAGTAACTCAGATGAGATAAATAAATTGCTGCTTGCAACATCCCATTAGGAACCTTGCCCCAGAGCTCTCTCTCAGCCCGGGATCTGGGAGCTGGGGAGGGCTGAGCTGCCTGCACACAGGCACTAAATGGCCCTCCCAGCTTAAAAATTAGGAAGAAATTCATCCCTGTGAGGGTGGGGAGGCCCTGGCACAGGTTGCCCAGAGAAGCTGTGGCTGCCCCATCCCTGGAAGTGTCCAAGGCCACCTTGGATAAACTTGGAGCAACCTGGGCTAGTGGAGGGTGTCCCTGCCCATGGCAGGGGGGAGGAATGACATGATGTTTAAGTTCCCTTCCAGCTGAAACCCATTGCATGATTCTGTGATTCTGAAATGCCTGATTCCTGTTTTCCAGTGTGACCTTTCCCCCTGGGCAGTGACAAGAGAAGAAGTGGATCGGTTCAGCAAGGAAAATGGCTTTTCGGGATGGGTGGAGACTTCTGTCAAGGAAAACAAGAATATCAATGAGTCCATGAGGTAGGAACAGTGCCTGGTGATGCATCCAAGAGTTAATTCCCTGCACAGAGAGGTTGTGGTCTCCCCATTCCTGGAAGTGTCCAAGGCCAGGTTGGATAAACTTGGAGCAACCTGGGCTAGTTTAAGGTGTCCCTGCCCATGGCCAGAGGGTGGAACTGGATGAGCTTTAATGTCTCTTCCAACTCAAACCATCCTGTGATTCCCTCATCCTCTGATCTTTTCCAACACAGTGAGGGAGGTGCTGTCAGTGAGCAACAAATAGCAGCAAAAACACACAATAAATCTCCCAAAAGGAAACTCAATTCTGAGAGGTCACAAGTTCATCCCTCCTCAGATCAGCTCTGCTTGTGGAGACAGAAATCCTTTGAACAGCACCAGGGGTGTTTTTTCACATGCTGGCCTCTTCCAGGAGGATGGGAGTTCTTGTGCAAAGAGATCAGAATTTCTCTGGTGATGCACCAATCCTTCAGTGCAGAATTTGGCCTTTTCTGAAGGGCATGGGAATCATGGAATCATTAAGGTTGGAAAAGACCTTTAAGATCATCCAATCCAAAACATCACCACGATCATGTTCACCACTAAACCATGTCCCCAGGTGCCACATCCACACATTTTTTGAGCACTTCCAGGGATGGTGACTCCACCACTGCCCTGAGCAGCCCCTTCCAGGGCTTTACAACCCTTTCCATGAAGAATTTTTTCCTTGTGTCTAATCTAAACCTAGTCTGGGTGTTCACAGCTCATGTTGAGCTTGGGCAGGTGGTACCCAGGGGGTCTGTTGATGTGTCCCAGTCCTTAACAGGACCTGAGGTGAGGTGGTTGCAGTAGGTGCTGTGAGTTATCCAGTCACTGCAGAGCCTCCTGATGCTGCCAGGTAATCTTAGGAATCCTCTTCTCAGTGCTGTGAAGTCCCTTAACCTGATTTTTTAATCATTTTGCTGGAGTTTTGTGTCCTTCTGACCTGAACTGCTGTTTCTTTTCTGCACTGCTGAAAAGCTTTGTGCCCCTCAATGCTGCTGGTTAAAAAAAACCAAACAAACCCACAAACCAAACTCCCTGTGGTGGTTTGAGACCCCTCAAAAATCCAATTTCCAAGTTCAAGCCCCCCTCCCACAGTTTGCTTTAGTGTGAGAGGGTTTTCAGACAAAACACAGTTACTCAGCATTGGGGGAAGGGGAAAATACTTACAAGGTTTATTTATATACATATATATAGGTAACATATATAGGTAACAACTATCTCTTCTACATATTTACATTAGATTAAATTTCTCTTTTTCTCCAACAAGAGTGTTTCTCTTGCAGAGTGCTGATTGAAAAGATGATGTCCTCATCCACGGGTGATGGAAGTTCCTCCACTGCTGGGAGTGGGGATTATATTAACTTAAAAGAGACCTCCCCACCAGGCTGGGCGTGCTGTTAGAGCCCCTGACACACCATCTCCTGGGCTCTAGCAGTCATGGTCCTTTTATCATCATCATCATTTCTCCCTGAACTGGCTCTGGCTGGTTTTGGGGTGGTTTTTTTACAAGCTCATGGGCTGTTTCCTGTGTAGTGAATATTCTTCCTCAGCAGAGCATTGCTGCAGTGACTCGAGTGAGGAGTGGAAAGGAGAGGAGTGGGAACATTCCTCTTTTTTCCCAGTGTAGCTGGAGCTCTGTTGCTCTGATGTAGCACAGTCCATGTCCAAGCTCAGGGCTTGGATTACATTTGTTTTTTTTAAAATTTTCAAGCACTTCACCTTCTGCCAGGTGCTGGCCCATCCTGGGCTGCTGAAGGTGTATTTTTAATACTGTTGCACCTTTATCCCCCACCACCTGCACCCCCACACCCCGAGGCACCAGCCCAAGGCCCTGCAGTGACCTTGGCCCACACACAGAGTCCAGGAGGTCTTCCCTGGGGATTCCCAGCATGGGATTCCATGGAATTACAGAGTCTCCCCTGGAGAGACCCAGCACATCCCATGGTCATCCCGAAGGTGTGGAGGGGGATGTGGATCAACGTGGTGCCCGTGGAGCTGTGAAGGTACCAGGGGGAATTTGGGAGGTGGTGCAGCACAGCCCCTCAGTGTCCTGCCTTCTGACTGTGCTGTTCAACAGCAGAGACCCCAAATTCCAGTCAGGAACTGCCCAGCTGCCTCCTGTCCTCCCTCCTCTCTCCGCCTCTGGCACAATCCCATTATCCTGCTGTGCTGCCCCTTTATTGGGGCACGGGGAGCTGGAGGAGGGATGGGCTGTAAACCCCTTTGTGTGCCAGAACAAGAGTCCTTTTGCACTTTTAGCACTCCCTGTATCCCCAAACCACCCCAAACAGCCTTGCAACTGCTGCTGAATTGCCTTCCCACCATTATCCTGCAGCCAGGAGGGGATTTGGTGGCAGGGCTGGTGTAGGAAACAGCTCCCTGCAAATCCCCCACTGCTTTTAGAGGGGGGGGGAAGAGGAGGAGGAGACTTTGTGGGACAAAAAGGAAATGAAGAAACCCCTCCCCTACTTCTCTTTGGTGCCTCCTTCCCCCCCACGTACCCCAGGTACTGGTTGTGGGGAAAAAACTGGTGCCCAAAAATTGGTACAAGCACAGCAGAGGTGTCAGGAGAGCGAGGAGGAAACTCAGCCTGCAGGGCTGGAGTTAAAATGCTGCGTGGGTTTGAGATGGTTTTGATATTCCATGACCCTGTGATGCTACACAGAATTGTCCTGCCCATGTTTTAGGTTTGGATTTCAGCAAATGGCCTTCAATGACGTTTTTCCCTTGAAAACTGGGCTATAAATTGCTCTGTCCTGATTCCTGGTGAATTAGGACTGGTTTTCATTGGCAAATTATTCCTCCTGCCTGTCTTTTCTTACTCTGTGTAATCTATGGAGGGAGAAAGTGGTAGAACAGGAACCAATTGCCTTCACTGAGCATAAAAAAAATCTGAGTTTTCCTTCTCTGAAGCTGAAAATAATTGATGAGTGAACAGTGAGGGTTAAGAAATTTAAAACCAGTGCTCCACTGTTTTAATTAAAAGCTGAAATACCTGGGCTAGGATTGTGTCATGCAAATATTGCCAAATTTGGGGCTAGGGGTGCTTAAATCCCCCCTTTTCTGTGCTGCTGTTTTCACTGTAGAAACATGGAGGACTGGCTAGCAACAAAATTGAAGTGCCTTGCTGAATTTTACTTTGCTGTGTTAAAAAAAAAAAAAAAGAAATAGGAAAGAAAATGGGTTTTAATCCTATAAATATTTCTAGTTCTTTGTGGAACATGAGGAGACGTGCCTGAGTTTTTAAAGGATCTGTCACGAAACTGTTCAGATTCAGGTGTTATTTATTGATTTTTTTGTACGTGCACCTTAAAGTGTTTTGGCAAAGAGACCAAGTCTTAGAGCCTGAAAGGTGGAGAAACCCCTGCCCAGGACCCACCCACTGCTCAGCCCAGCTTGGCACTGGAAATTCCCAGTTCCTGTTCCATCCAGTTAGAGAATCCCAGAATGGGTTGGGTTGGAAGGGACCTTAAAGCTCAGCTCAGCTCATCCCAGGGGCAGGGACACCTTCCACTAGCCCAGGTTGCTCCAAGTTTATCCAAGGTGGCCTTGGACACTTCCAGGGCTGGGGCAGCCACAGCTTCTCTGGGCACCCTGTGCCACCCTCACAGGGAATTCCTGGCCAGAAAAACCTCTTTACACCTTTTCACATGTCACTTTAATACCTACCAGTGCCTCTTTGGTGCCTGAACCTCCCAACCTGCACCTTTTCTTTCAGAAGTGCCTTTAAGAATCGAGCAAAAAAAGCCAAAGGAAGGTATGTTGGGGTTCTTTTCCTCTTCTACATCATTTCTGTTTGCCCAGGGGTTTCCATTCCCGGTGTGAGCCTTTGGGGGGGTGTTTATTTTGCACACTTACTGTTGGTTAACATCTGACACGGGAGACAAATGTTTAAAAAACCCCCCAACAAGCTGCACACCAGAAACAGCCGTTGCTCACGTGAAACCCCAAGCAGACAGGAAAACGATTTCCCTGTGCAGATGTGTGTGTTCTCAGAGATCTCTCTGGGGCACCAGGGGCTTAAAAAAAACCGGGCAAAACAAAACCAGCAACCCCCTTGATTTAGTTTTGTAAAAAAAGCCCCGTCAAAGATGCTCTTTCTGGGCTGGGCAGCGTGGAAGGGACGTGGGCACGGGCTGTGCCAGCTGGAATTAAGTCTTGTTTTTAAAACAACTGAAAGGGAAGAAAGAAAAAAAAAACCAAGAAAACCGTTTTAAACAAAGTTAAGTCTTGTTCCTGCAGGTGGTTAAAAAGCCTGAATCTTTCAGGTATGAATCAGAAAAGTCTTGTCTTTTGTTCTGCCTGGCTCGTGCCTTCCCTCAGGTTGGGAAATGAAGGTGTTTTGTTCTCCCTGTTTTGACTTTGAACCCTCCTGTGTGACTCGGGGCCAACTGGGCCTTTTTCCCTCTCATCCACACCTTGTTCCTCCTTCCTGTGACTTTAATTTGTGGTCCTGGGACTCAAAAACCACGTGTATTTTCTGTACTGATGGCTGCACTCTGTGGGTCCACACCAGGTTTTCACTGCAATAGGATTCAAAAGCAGATTCTAGGCCCTAAAATAAGTCAACAATCCCAAAACTTTGCTTTTTTTCTTTTTTAATTGCTTGCTGTTACACAGAAATATTTTAGAGACAGGGTTCTGATTACTGTAAAACTTCAGTATTATCATGTTTATGTAAAAGAGGAAAAACTGCTGGGAGGTTTAATCCACATCAATCAGTGACTAATGCAGTATTGCAATAGTTTGAAATAAAAAAATCGACATGACTTGGTTAGTGGTTGTTGTTTTCCTGTCTCAACAGTCCTAAGAAATGGGTTCACAAGTTGAAACTAAAAATAACAATAACAGGAATGTATAAAACACACACTGTGAACTGCAGCAAAACAAATGAGATCCTTTCCACTGAAAAACACCCTCAATTATTGGAGTTTTATTGAGCTACAGGCAGGACATAAACATGCAAAACTTGTGCATCTGTGAGTCAGCCAGAGTGGCTTTTAATCCAATATATCCAGCTCAGAGCAGAGAGCAAAGAATTCCTTGATGTGGTTACTGCACCTTTCCCCTCAGGGCTTGTTAATTCAGTGTATTTTGGGGCTGGATGTGCAGGCAGTTGCTCCAAGGGACTCTTTTTTTCCCTGATCAGCTCGATTTTCATGGAGATTGACTGGCACAAAGGACAGGGCACAGCTGGATTGGGCAGAAAAATGGCAATAATTCCAAAGGAGACAAATGAAGCTCAAGCAGGGCATTAAATGAACTCAAATTATCCTTTAATTATAATTACTGCTGTAAAGCTGACCATGTTTATATTGCCAAACCAGTATTTTCAGAGAACCCAACATATAAAAATACCTTTTTAAGTGGTCTTTTTAACAAAATGGAAGGATGAGTCTCTTTTAAAGGTCCAAACGTGAAGCGAAAGTGAGTTGTTATTGTAGAAGAAGCTGTCATTTTAATGACATTTAATTTTTCCATGGTTAAAGCAGCTCCTTTTCTAAACAAAATGAGTCATTTGGGGGGAGTTTCTGAATTTATGGCCTAAAAATCAAACATCTTCAGTGGGCTTTGCATGAATTTGGCGTGTCCGTGTGCTGAGTAGCGTGGGGATGAAATGAGGGCTGATGATAAAATCTACAGATATTAATTTTCTGCGTTTATTTGTAGTAAAATTGAATCCCACTGACCCCTGATCAGTGTGATAAAACAACCCAAGTGTGGTAAAGTGTGTAGATTATTACAAATTTAATCCAGTGACGTGATCTACCCCGGTTTGGGGGTCGCTCTGGAGCACAGGAGGTGCTGTTTGACCCACGGGGAAGGAGTAAGAGGGAATAACGTGGTAAATCCAATGGAATTCCAGTGGAATTCCGTTGTGCCAGGGCTGGCTGTCACTGTTCCCCCTCCAGGGGTGTTTGTTCCTGGCAGGGCTCTCATGGGGGATGATGCCTGCTGTGTATTCCCAGGGTGGAGCCTCTGAAGTCTGGGAAGAATTCCATGACAAAGGGGCTGCGGGGCTGGAATCCCCCCGGGCTGGGATCAGCCTGCCCTAACCTGGCTGCCTAAAATAAATCGGGATAGGCACGACAGGGGACGGACAAAACACAGCCAAAGGAACCCGGAGCCTTTCCACCCAAACCCCCCCCAATTACCGGAGTTTTATTGAGCTATACAGATGCAAAACTTGTGCATCTCCGAGTCAGCCAGAGTGGCTTTTAATCCAAC